GCCCTTTGTGGGAGCCCAGAGCTGGGGCAGAGAGAGCTCCCCACCCCCAGCGATGGAACCTGCGCAGGGGCATTCAGGGAGCTCTGTCTCCATGGCCTGCCCAGCCCTCGTTCTCTCTGTCCCTGGGGGGCTGGGGACTGCGACTGCCCTGCGGCCTTGGCTGGGACCCATCCAACAGACCCTCCCAGCAAGGGGAGTCGCTCTTCCACCCCCATGGATGCTGCCCCCTTCCTTGCAATTCCCAGCACCCTGGTGTGAGAGGAGCAGGACCCCAGCCCCGCTACCAGGACCCCTCTCCCCTCCCCCGCCCACCGCCAGCATCCCAGGAGACCTCGTTACCTGCGGGGGACACCGGCCGGGGGAGACTCTGGAGCGAGGCTGGAAGAGAAGAGCAGAGAGGGGGTCAGAGCTCCAGGAAGGGGCTGGGGGTGCAGGAGAAGGGCGGGACGTGGGCAGAGAAGGCGACTCTCCAGACACACACAGAGGGGCTGAGGGCTGGGGGCCGCGGGGGGCACTCACCCAGCAGAGGCAGGAGCAGAGGCAGCGCCATGCTGGGCCCGTGGCTCTGGGCCGGGAGCTGGGTTCTCAGCTCAGTCTCTGTCCCTGTGGGTGCAGGGAGGGGGCCGGGCCCCTCTGTGCTGACGCAGGCAGAGGAAGTCACAGGCTCAGGTGTGGTCACTGCTCAGCCCAGGGGCTGGTGCGCAGGGCGGGAGGGTTCTGTAACCGGAGGGGGCGCCCCAGCCGAGACTTCCCTCTGCCCCACCAGCCAGACCCTTCCTCTGGGCCCCGACTTTCCAACCTGGGTTCAATCTTCACATCTCCAGAGGGAAAGACTCTGACATTTTCTGGTCATTGTGAAACTGCCGTTAGTGACCTCCTTGTCCTCGCTGTGGCTTGGGTTCCCTGTCCTCCGGTCCGAGCGTGGTGAGCCGCAATCCCTCACATGACACGGAGATTCCCATTTGCCCCGTGACCACGATCCACCGTCTCTTTCCTTGCCCTGCCCCCAAGAACGACCAGGACGACATTGTTGTGTGGACACAAATACGCATAACTCCACGAGGCTTTGGATAACCTCCCCCGGGAACCTGTCAACGTGAATAGTGCCATCGATTCGTACTTTCGGCCGGTGTCACTCACGTGTGACACACTAGAGATTCGGAGTCTGGAATGGCTTCTGGCTTGACATGTGCACAGGGAAGCCATCCGGGGCGTTTCCCTGACAGACTGGGTGATGCCCGGTAAACAGCCCCCTTTCTCCTTTAAGTTGACGTAGTGATTGGTCTTTGGAAGTCATGTGATCACCCCAACGGGGAGGGTCCACCCAGGGAATTTTCCATGGAAGGTGGGAGAGAAAACGTCCAAGTTCCCGCCTCTCTCTCTGTCCATCCTTCCCCATACCTACCCACCCAGCTGCCTGCCTATCCCCGTTGTATCAATCTGTCTGTCTGTTCATGGCCAGATGGGGTCAGACCAAAGGTCCAGCTAGCCCAGTGCCCTGTCTGCTCACAATAGCTGATGCCAAGTGCCCCAGAGGAAGGGAACACAATAGGGACTCATCATGCGATCCCTCCCCGTCACCCATTTCCAGCCTCTGACACCCTCCGTACCCATCCTGGCTAATGGCCATTGATGGACCTAACATCCATGAATCCATCGAGCTCTTTTTTGAACCCTGTGGAAGTCCTGGCCTTCACTGCCTCCTCTGGCAAGGAGTTCCACAGGTTGACTGAGCGCTGCATGAAGTAAAAACTTCCCTCGGTGTGTTTTAAATCTGCTGCCGCTTCGTTTCATCGTTCGTCCCCATAACAGCTATCGCATCTCTTCATCTCCACGAGAGGAAGTGATAGAAACTGCTCCGTGGCGTGTGTTTTTCCACCTGATAAGGGCTGGAGGGAGGAAGCAGCCGGTCCCCACAGAGCCATGAACGCACGGACGTGTCAGCCGCCGGCGTGAGGGGATAGGCCAGGAGCCTGAAAGGCCCCCAGATGTGGGGACCTGGTTTAGCATCTCCCGGAGCCACTCTGGGAGGTCCCATGTCAGGCTGGAGGAGCTGGGAGCCAGCCCCCAGGGAGGCTGCAGCCAGGAGGAACCTGCCTGTCCCTGTTCTGTTACCTACCCACCCCAAAGGGGGAGGAGCTCAATGGCGCCACCCGGCCAAGAGACACCAGCGGGGGCGCCAGGGTGCCAGGCAGCTGCTATGCTCCAGGGAGCCAGGAGGAGGCGCTGCTTGTATAACAGCAGGTGCAGGGGGCACCCCCCCAGGAACCTCAGTGGAACCACGGGGGGCGGCTTCACGCCTGGTGGTTCTGCACGAGGGCCATGCTCAGGCTGCGGCTGACATGCAAAGTGGGTTTCCGAGAGTGACAAACCGCAGTGCGCAGCCACCAGGGAGCCCCCCCTGCTGATAGCAGCAGAAATGAGGAACCGGTTCTCTGCACACACCCCAGTCCTGACACCCAGCCCCCGCCCCACTCTAACCACTAGCCACCCCTCTCCTTCCAGAGCAGGGGAGAGAACCCAGGAGTCCTGGCCCCCAGCTCCTCCCCTCTAACCACTAAACTCCACTCCCTTGTGAGAGCCAGAGAGAGGGCCCAAGAGTCCTGGCTGCCAGCTCTCACCACTAAACCCCACTACCCTTCCGCAGTTCAGGAGGGAACCCAGCAATCCTGGCCCTTAGCCCCTCAGCTCTCACCACTAAACCCCACTACCCTTCCAGAGCTGGGGAGGGAACCCAGGAGTTCTGGCTTGCTGTCCCACACCCCTCTCACACATAGACACCACCCCCATCCCACAGCTGGGGAAAGAACCCAGGAATCTTGGCTCCCAGCCCTCCAGCTCTAACCTGTAGCCCCCACTGCCCTCCCAGAGCCAGGGAGAGAACTCAGGAGTCCTGACTTCCAGCCCTCCTCCTCTAACCACCATCCCCCACTCACCTTCCCGACCAGGGAAGAGAACCCAGGAGACCTGGCCCTTACCCTCTCTGCTCCAACCACTAAACCTCACTCCTTTCTCTGGGCCAGGGAAAGAACCCAGGAGTCTTGGCCTGCAGACCCACCGCCCTCGGTTCTAACCACTCAAGCAGCCTCTGCTGGAAAAAGGAAATGAGCAGGCGTCACGTTCGTTTCGACCCAGCACTGCAGCAGGGAAACCGCAGAAGAGCCGAGAACAAACAGAGGTCCCAGCTCTCAAACTCAGCAGGTGCCACGGAGTTCATCAAACCTCACCCATCCCCCTCTCCGGTGCCCCCAAACACCCATGCCTCTGGAGGCAGGACAGGAGACACTGGGATGCCCCCAGTGCCAGGGCCCCGCCTGGCAAGGTATTGATTAGCTGACCTAACATCTCCCCGTCCCAGCTCTGGAGAGCCTGCCCATGGGAGCATTTCCCAGCCTCTGACAGAGGTCGGATGAAGTGTCACCAGAGTGACCGTTGTCAGAAAGTTTGGGAACCAGAAGGCTCATAGCTGGGGCCGTGTGAGGCCAATGTAGGTGACCAAGTCCCTGACGGAGGAGGAGCAGGACTAAGCAAAGCATTTCACTCCACCGGTCCGTGACGAGGTAGGACCAGAAATGAGTGAACCAGGAGAAGATCGAAGAGGCACCGATCAGAGATCCCCCCAGTGCCCCAACGGCGTCTGAGGTCAGGGGACACTGCCCCGAAGAACTTTCCCTAGAGACGGGGAAGGGGAGAGGAGCCCGAAATTTACAGGGCGACCCCTCCAGCGTGCTCCCCTTCTGGTTTGAGGGCTGGCCGGCTAGGCCAACACCGGGAGGTTGATGAGAAGGTGCCGGAACTTCGTGAGGCAAGGCAGGTTGATCGAGTGGGGAAAGTGCAGCCAGAAACTCCCTCAGAGGTTCCGGAGGAGAGGATGCAACCTGATGTGCTTGACACAGATACTCTGGCTGTAGCCACAGGTAGATGGTCTCTTGAAGTGCACACCTTGAAGGGGACACCTAAGACCAGACACCTTGAAGCAAACAAACATCTTGAAGCAGACACCTTGGAGCGGACACCTTGAAGCAAACAAACACCGTGAAGTGGACACCTTGAAGTACATACCTTGAAGCAAATGAACATCTTGAAGTGGACACCTTGGTGTGGACACCTTGAAGCAAACACACACCTTGAAGCAGACCCCTTCCTGCTGGAGGGGACCATTAGGGCCAGAAAGGGGGTGGAATGCAGCATGAGCTGGTGCAGACGGGCACGGTCTTTGCTTAGCAGAGGGTCTAGCTGGCTGGCACTTGGCTGTCCCGGGTGGTGCGTCGGGGGCAACCAGAGAGGCTCACAGGGGAAGGGCCTTTTCCCTCGCCAAGCAGCGGGAGGTTCCACAGGCCCTAAGCGGCGCGTGGCTGGAAGGTGGGGGAAGGCGGGTGTCGCTAGCAGCGAGGTTTCTTGCCAGACGGCAGAACCCCAGCAGCCCCCGGCGGTGTGGTGAACGCGTAGCCCACATGATAGGAACCCAAGTTGTTGCGGCGACGGTGGTTAAGAAAAGTTCGCTGCAAGCAGCTGTAAACACAGGGGCCAGAGAGTAGTGACAGAGCTCGGAAGACCTCCCCTGAAGGCACCAATTCTTTCCCTCCATCACGGCTTGTCCCAGGGGTCCTAGCCCACAACACCCCACCACCATCCCAACCCACCTTGGTCTAACCCCATAGACCCCCACCCCTCTCCCAGAGTGGGGAAAAGAACCCCAGAACTGGACACCGCCCCTAGAATCATAGCACCATAGAGCTGGAAGAGACCTCAGAAGGTCATCAAGTCCAGCCCCCTGCTCTAGGCAGGACCAGTCCCAACCAATCCCTAAGCATCTTGACTCTCATTTGCCCCCCCACCTGTACTCTAACCACTAGGCACACCGCCTCGGAGCAACACTTTCACCCACAGAAGGAGGCAGTTGGGAGCCTGGAGAATTCTTGGCCCTCGGCGTACACCCAATCAACAGACTGTCGGAAAATCAACAGAGCACAGTGGGGAGCCTTTTATTGATCCCAAATCCCCCACCGGGCAGTGCCTGGTAACATCCTGCAGGCCCTGGGAACACAAACAGAAGGGACAATGAACATTATGTAACCCCTCTGCCCCATCCCCTAATGACCTTCAGATACTGCTCTTCTACCGCAGAGCTGGGACCTCCTAAGCACCCGTTTGGCTACATCTGCATCTGGAGGCAAGAAAACTGGAGAGGAGGACGTGGAAGGGCCCACTAGGGGGCGCTCTAGTCCTTGGGTCTCTTCAGAAGCCGGTTCCCCTGGGCAGCTCTAGGGGGCGCCTGGATGAATGTGAGAGGGTGCTGCCCAAGTTCAAGTCAGAGATGACTCCCACGCCGCCAGGGGGCGCTGTGGTGCACTGGAAGGGGGCTCGTGAAGGGATGTGGTCATTCCTGACCGTGACACACATGTGTGCAGGTAGGGGGCGCCGCACTGTTGACACGGCCACCGTCACGGTGCAAAGCCACCTGCGCTACGACTCAGGGTCCCACGTTTTTCATTCATCGTTTTGGTCACCCCTTCAGGTCCCAAATATGGAGGCGTCTCCATGTCCCAGTGGCCCTGCTCCAATTCCCAGCTTTGCCTCCACTCCTTGACCTCAGACTCCGGCTCAGAGCCCTGACGGCTGCTCTAACCACTGGACACAACTGCCCTCATCTCACTCACTGTCTGCAGCTGAGAGCGCTTGGGGTGTCCCCTGTGTTGCAGAATTCCCCTGTAAGCCCCACAGCTGTGGGCTGAGATCCCCTACTGCCGTGTTTCTTAAACTGTGCCACGAGGCAGTCAGAGGTGTGCCGCGGAGAACAGAGTTCAAAATGGCCACTGTTAAAGGAGCAGGCAACCTTTCTTTTTTTTTTTTTGGCTCAACATCTTCTCTGCAAACTCCCCTCCCCCTTTTTTGTTCAACAACTTCCCCGAAAACTCCCCTCACCCTTTATTTGCTCAACAACTTTTCCCCAACCTCCCCTTTTTTTTTGCTCAACAAAAAATCTTTGGGGTTCTGCATAAAAAAAATTGTTTGGGGTTCCTTGGTCTTGAACAGTTTAAGAAACACAGCCCTAATGGGTTATTTTCCTGGGAACGTTCCATGCGTCAAAGCCACAGCCGGTGCCGGTTACCTGTGTGCTACAAACAGCGGTGGGAGACGAGGAAGATGAGGCCGTTGATGAGGAAGAAGGAGCCGCCCACGGCCAGGAACCGAACCAGGAAAGCATGATTCCCTGCACAGACAGAAGAGAAAAGAATTCCCTCCTGAAAGGTTGCATTGGGTCTTGTAGGCTGCTATCTGCCGCCCCCTGCAGGACGGATGGAGTCGCTTGCTCTCTCACACTCTCTCTGGAAAGCGACTTGCTGCCCCCTGGTGGAGGAAATTCAACCAGCTGTCTGGGTTTGTGAGTTGTGAGGCTAGCCGCACGGAATAGTGACACTAGACTTTGGTGGTTACACAAGAGCCGAGACCTCACCCTGGTGGTTCTTCCCTGACACTCTTGATGTCATTGTGGATCATTCTCTGAAAACATCCACTCCGTGCGTGCATGTTAGGAATCATTACAAAAGGGACAGAGAATAAGACAGAGAATCTCTTATGGCCTCTCTATCAATCCATGGGACACCCACAGCTTGAATCCTGCATGCAGATGTGGTCTCCTCATCTGAGAAAAGATTTCTCGGCATTGGAAAAGGTTCCGAAAAGAGCCACTAACATGATGAGGGGTTTGGCACGGGTCCCATATGAAGAGAGATTAAAAAGACTGGGATGTTTCAGTTTAGAAATGAGGAGACTAAGGGGGGAGAGGATGGAGGTTTAGAAAATCATGAGTGGTGGGAAGAAAGTGAATAAGGAAATTATTCATTTGTTTCCAAAACATAAGAACGAGGGGTCACCCACATAAATAAATAAACAGCAGGTTTTAAACAAACCAAAGGAAGTTTTTCTTCATCCAGCGCACAATCAACCTGTGGAACTCCTTGCCAGAGGATGTGGTGAAGACCAGTACTTGAACAGGGTTTAAAAAAGAGCTAGATAAATTCATGGAGATGAGGTCCATCGATGGCTATTAGCCAGGATGGGTAGGATTGGCGTCCCTCGCCTTTGTCTGGAAATGGGTGATAGGGGAGGGGTTATGTGAAGATTCCCTGTTGTGTTCCCTCCCTCTGGGGCAGCTGGCATTGGCCACTGTGGGCAGACAGGACATTGGGCTGAATGGACCTTTGGTCTGACCCCATTTGCTTGTTCAGATGTTCTTCTGCATTTCCCAATATGCTCCCAGTGTCTCTAGCAGACGAGAAGGGGGGAGATTCCTCACCTGTCACGGTGACGTACACGGCCTGGCTCCTGGGGGACGGACCCCATTTCTGGCACACGTTCTCCTCGTACCCGCAGGTGAACGCCCCGGTGCTGCTGAGCTGGGCCCGGGGGATACGGAGCACCGAGATGTTCCTAGACCCCGAAGGGTGGATCTGAGACTGCCCGTTCCGAGGGAGAAACTCGACGCCATCCTTGTAGAAGTAGAACCTCCGCTCGCCGGTGCCCTGGGGTGCCGTGCAGGTGAGGAGCAGGGGCAGCCCTTCCTTAATCACGCCAGACGGGGGATCCACGCTCAGCGCTGGCGGGAAAGGTGAATCTGAGGGGAGCAGCAAAGGGGAGAAGTGAGCACATCTCATGTTCCATGGGACATGCCCATCCTGGAGGAGAGCGCAAAGATGAAATGGTTTTACTGGGGAAGACTTTGGGATCCTGTGGACCCAATATGTTAGAAACAAATGGCAATCGCTTGTCAGTCGCCAACTTTCCTTGCCACCACCAGGGTCAACATGCCATTGATTTCTAAGGTCTTGGGTACAGCTACTGGGAAGAATCCCAATGAAACATGAGTTTCGTGGATGGAGGGTTGGACTCGATGACCGCCCAAGGTCTCTTCCAACCCCACACTCTTGTGATTCATTGGCTGATTAAATCAGGGAATCACAGAACTCTAGAATGGAAGTGACCTGGAGGGGTCATCGAGTCGAGTCCCCTTCCCTCACGGCAGGACCAAGCACCGTCTAGACCATCCCTGATAGACATTTATCTAACCTACTCTGAGGGTACATCTACACTATAGGCTTTTGTCGACAGAGGCTTTGTCGACAGATACTGTCAACAAAGCTTCTGTTGACATAGAGGGTGTGTCTAGACTACAGGGTTTTGTCGACAAAAGTGGACTTTTGTCGACAAAACTATACCTGCGTCCACACTGCCTTTGAGTTATGTCGACATAACGTCGACAAAACTCAGCAGTTTTGTCGACGTATGTAAACCTCATTCTACGAGGAATAACGCCTTTTGTCGACAGAGTTCTGTCGATAGAAGGCATTATTGCATCTACACTGTCCTTAGCATCCACACACTCATGTCGACAAAGAGGCTTGTTTGTCGACAGAACTGGCTGTAGTCTAGACGCTCTTTGTCGACAGAAGTTTTGTCAACAGTACAGGCAGTCCCCGGGTTACGTACAAGATAGGGACTGTAGGTTTGTTCTTAAGTTTAATCTGTATGTAAGTCAGAACTGGCGTCAGAGACAGTATCAATGCAATAATGCCTTCTGTCAACAGAAGTCTGTCAACAAAAGGTGTTAGTCCTCATAAAATAAGGTTTCGCGATGTTGACAAAACTGCTGCATTCTGTCTACATTATGTCAACAGAACGCAGCAGTCTAGATGCAGATATAGTTTTGTTGACAAAAGTCCACTTTTGTCGACAAAACCCTGTAGTCTAGAGACACCCTGAGGGTGCCTCTAGACTATTTTGCTCTGTCAACGGAGCCATGTCAAGTAGTTTACTCAACATAGTCAATGAAGCGGGATTTAAATAATCCCCGCTTCATTAAAATAAAAATGGCCGCCGCGCTATGCCGACAATCAGCTGATCCGGCACAGCGCGGCTGTCTAGACGTGGTGCTGTTGACAAGGGAAGCCTTTGTTGACGGCTCCTGTAAACCTTGAGGCATACCGGAGCTGTCGACAGAGGTTTCCCTTGTCGACCGCACCACGTCTAGACTGCCGCGCTGTGCCGGATCAGCTGATTGTTGGCACAATGCAGCAGCCATTTTTATTTGAATTAAGAGGGGATTATTTAAATCCCCACTTCATTGACTATGTTGAGTAAACTACTTTACATGGCTCCGTCAACAGAGACATGTAGTCTAGACACACCTTGAAGTATCTCCAGAGATGGGGTGTGTCTCAACTACTGGGTTGTCAACAAAAGTGGACTTTTGTTGAGAAAACTGTACCTGTGTCTATACTACCGCAGCGTTGTGTCAACAGTAAGTGAATAGAACGAGGCAGTTTCGTCGACAGCGGTAAACCTTGTTTTACGAGGAACAATGCCTATTTTCAACAGAGATCTCAAAGAAAAGGTGCTAGTGCATCCATACTGTGCTTTTTCAAAAGAGAGCACCTACACTCTCTTTCGAGAAAGCGGCTTGCTCTTTTCGACAGCATTGGTTGTAGTCTAGAGTGACGCTCTTTTTCGACAGAGGCTTTGTCGACAGTATACATTAGAACCTAGGCAATTAGGCAATACATTGTATCTAGGCACTTAATTCCAGTGTTTGACCACCCTGACAGGCAGTGGTCATGTCTAATCTAAGCCTCCCTTGCTGCTGTTTAAGTCCATTGCTTCTTGTTCTATCCTCAGAGACCCAGGAGAACAATTTTTCTCCCTCCTCCTTCTGACACCCTTTTAGATACCTGAAAACCACTATCATGTCCCCTCTCCGTCTTCTCTTTTCCAAACTAAACAAGCCCTGTTCCTTCACTCTTCCCTCGTAGGTCATGTTTTCTAGACCTTTCATCAGTCTTGTTGCAATTGAAATATTAGTCACAACTGACGTGTTTGAGGGAGCCAGTTAGATTTAAGCCAAGTTCCGATGGAACCCGGGCCCAAGTCCTGCCCAAAATGTCCTGGTTTCCTTTCTTCCTGCCCACTCAGCCTGGCCCCCTGGCTTCTTGAGAAATGAAAAGGAGAGGACTCAGAAAATCCAGCTCATCCCATGGAAGATCTTGGAGTTACAGGCTGTGGAATCCTAGGGTTGAAAGATAACTCGGTGGGTCATTGAGGCCAGCTCCCTGCCCAAAGCAGGACCAACCCCAACTCAATCATCCCAGCCAGGGCTTGGTCAAACCAGAACTAGGCATGGGGATTCCACTCCTTACACAGGGAACCCATCCCAGCGCTTCCCCACCCTCCAAGGAAAATAGTTTTTCCTAATCTCCAACCTAGACTTCCCCCACTGCAACGTGAACCCATTGCTCCTCGTTCTGCCATCTGCCACGACTGAGAACAGCCTCTTTGGAACCCCCCTTCAGGGAGCTGAAGGCTGCTCTCAAATCCCCCCTCGCTCTTCTCTTCTAAACAAGCCCAAATCCTTCAGCTTCTCCTTGTAGGTCAAGTCCCTTCAAGGGCGAACTTCTGACTTCTTGGCTTTCATTCCAAGTTGGAAGGAAACCAGATTGTGAGCCATGGGAATGGGATCCCTTTCCCCTACCCATCCCGTGCGAACTGGGGACTTACCCAGCACGGAAACAGAGACCGGTTGGCTTCCCACCGACAGGATCTCTTGCCCGGACTCTTCTTGCCAGTATTTGCATGTGTATGAGCCCGCGTCCACCGTGCGAAGTGAAGGAAAGAAAACTTGGGCTCCCCTGCTGGCGTCAGGGTCCCGGGAAAAAATCTCCCCATTTTCTTCATTGTAGAATCTGTATCCCGTCACATTGTCAATTTGGGGATCCACACAGGTGAGCGTCAGCTGTTCCCCCACCAGGTATTGTGGGCAAGGCGGGTCCACGGTGAGCGAGGCGGGAGGTGCTCGGTCTACACGGGGAGAATGAAAAGGGAATGAGTCAATGGGGTACCCGGTAGTCCAAACAACCGCACATTTTGGTTTCTACCCTGAAGCCAGTGAACCATCCCCTCATCTTTTGGTAGAATCCAAGAATCCTAGAATCCCAGAATCTGAAATTCTGCTAGCCCAGTCCCCCCAAGATCAGAATCCTAGGATCCCAGGGCGGGCAGAGACCTCAGGAGACACCAAGTCCAGCCCCCTGCCCAAAGCAGGACCACCCCCGACTCAATCATCCCAGCCAGGGCTTGGTCAAGCCGGGACTTAAACACCTTTAGGGATGGAGATTCCACCCCTTCCCTAGGGATCCCAGCCCAGGGCTCCCCCACCCGCCTAGGGAAATAGTTCTTCCTAATATCCAACCTAACCTCCCCCACTGACGATTGGAAACTCACAGCTCTGCAAAGTTCTCCTGCCCCCGGGCACACCAGTGTAGGGCTCCCTAAATCCAAAAGATTCCCCCCCAGACATTGTCCATGGAGCCCGTATTGGTGGGGAAGGTGAAGGAACAACACGTTCTTCCAAGCCCCCATGAGAACTGAAGTGATACCATCTCGTCTACCAGAGCCAGGCTCTAACCACTGAGCGAGAGGGGCCATTGTGGCTGGAAACGTCTCCACCTGGCAACACAGACTCACCATAGACAATTAGGGTGATGGGGTCACTCGGTGTGGACGGCGCCTTCAGCCCAGCTGGCCAGTACCGACAGCGGTAGGACCCGGAGTCGTGCACATTGAGGTGAGGCAGATGGTAGGTCAGGCGAAGTGGAGTCTGGCTCTGTGGAGGGGTCACGTCTTCACCATCCTTTAGAAACTGGATTTGTGTAGCCTGGTACCCCTTGGGTGGGGTGCATGTGAAGGTGACGGGGTGGCCTACACGGTATGTGGACTGTGTTGGGTTCACTGACAGCATCGGGGAAGTGCCATCTGGAAAGTGGGTGAATATTAGCTAGCGCTTTCCGTCCGCCATTCATAAGAACATAAGAACTTAAGAGCGGCCGTACTGGGTCAGACCAAAGGTCCATCTAGCCCAGTATCCTGTCTGCCGACAGTGGCCAGCACCAGGTGCCCCAGAGAGGGTGGACCGAAGACAATGATCAAGCAATTTGTCTCCTGCCATCTCTCTCCAGCCTCTGACAAACAGAGGCCAAGGACACCATTTTATCCCCTGGCTAATAGCCTTTTATGGACCTAACCTCCATGAATTTATCCAGCTTCTCTTTAAACTCTATTATAGTCCTAGCCTTCATAGCCTCCTCTGGCAAGGAGTTCCACAGGTTGACAACACGCTGTGTGAAGAAGAACTTCCTTTTATTAGTTTTAAACCTGCTCCCCATTAATTTCATTTGGTGTCCTCTAGTTCTTCTATTATGGGAACTAATAAATAACTTTTCTTTATCGGCCCTCTCCACACCACTCATGATTTTATAGACCTCTATCCTATCCCCCCTCAGTCTCCTCTTTTCTAAACTGAAAAGTCCCAGTCTCTTTAGCCTCTCCTCATATGGGACCCGTTCCAAACCCCTCATCATTTTAGTTGCCCTTTTCTGAACCCTTTCCAAGGCCAAGGGCAATGTTGTTGTTCCCGTTTTACAGATGAGGACAACTGAGGCCTGGCACAGGGTCATGTCTAGGGCAGCTCTCGGTCTCACTACCCCCATAGGAGTGCAAATCACACCAAGCTACGTATGGCAAATGCTAGCTGTCCATCCACGCCATAGCTCCACCAAAGCTGAGGTCTTACCCCAGCCCGCTTCCTAGCCTGCCCCCCAGGGTATGTTCCCGGAGGACCCGAGGGTTGCATCCCAGAATCATGTTTGCTTTTTTTGCAACAGCATCACACTGCTGACTCATATTCAGCTTGTGGTCCACTATGACCCCTAGCTCTCTTTCCTCCGTACTCCTTCCTAGACAGTCGCTTCCCGTTCTGTATGGGTACATCTAGACGACAGGCTTTTGTTGACAGAGGCTTTGGCGACAGATACTGTCGCCAAAGCTTCTGTCGACAACGAGCGTCTAGACGACATCCAGTTCTGGCGACAAAGCAAGCCGCTGTGTCGGCATGAGAGTGTAGAGGCAAAGGTCAGTGTAGATGCAACAATGTCTTCTGTCCACAGAACTCTGTCGGCTACAGGCGTTATTCCTCGTAGAATGAGGTTTAGCCCCGTCGACAAAACTGCCCAGTTCTGTCGACGTTATGTTGACTGAACTCAGCGGCAGTGTAGACGCAGGTATAGTGTTGTCGACAAAAGGCTTTTTTTGTCGACAAAACCCGGTAGTCTAGAGCCTCCGTGTGAAACTGATTGGTCCTTCCCAAGCGGAGCCCTTTGCATTTGTCCTTATTAAACGTCATCCTCTTTATCTCAGACCATTTCTCCAAGTTGTCCAGCTCATTTTGAATGATGACCCTCTCCTCCAGATTAGTCGCAACCCCTCCCGGCTTGGTATCATCTGCAAACTTAATAAGCGTACTTTCTATGCCAATAGCTAAATCGTTGATGAAACTGAGGCGCACATGTGGGTTTACTCTGAAGCATTATAGGAGCTTTCTGGTGTGGGATAATTTGTCCTCTTGAGGTCTTGGTCTTATAGGTGAGGGAGGCTGTCATGCTCGGAATTCCCATCACTGCTTAGGAATTGGTGCAATGCCTAGGGAAACTGAGGCATGCACGTGGGTTTACTATGGAACAGTATAGGACTTTGCTGATGTGGGATAATGTCTCCGCTTGATTTTATAGGGGAGGGAGGCTGTTGCACCCAAAATTTCCATCACCATCTAGGCATTGGTGCAGTGCCCAGGGAAACTGAGGCATGCACATGGCAGTTATTATGGAACATTATAGAACCTTGCTCTTGGGGGATGATCTCTCCCCTTGAGATCTGGATCTTATACGTGAGGGAGGCTGTCATGCCTGAAATTCCCATAATCATCTAGGCACTGGTGCAGTGCCCAGGGAAACTGAGGCACACACACGGTAGTTCTTATGGAATGTTATAGAACCTTACTGTTGGGGGATGATCTCTCCTCTCCAGCCCTTGGTCTCCTATGTGAGGGAGGCTTGCATACCCAATGTTGCCACTAGCATCTAGGCATTGGTGCAGTGCCCAGGGAAACTGAGGCACACACACGGCAGTTATTATGGAACATTATAGAACCTTGCTCTTGGGGGATGATCTCTCTCCTTGAGCTCTGGATTTTATAAGTGAGAGAGGCTGTCATGCCTGAAATTCCTATAACCATCTAGGCACTGGTGCAGTGCCCAGGGAAACTGAGGCACACATGTGCGTTCACTATGGAACATTATAGGAGCTTGCTGGTGTGAGATAATCTCTCCCCTTGAGCACTTGATCTTATAGGTGAGGGAAGCTGTCATGCCTGGAATTCCCATCTCCATCTAGGCACTGGAGTTGTGCCCAGGGAAACTGAGGCACACACATGGCGGTTATTAGGGGACTTTACAGGACCTGGCTGAAGAAGGATGATCTCTCCTTTTTGGTGGCTTAGGAATTAGCAACTAGAAGTTTGAGATCCAGCCCCCTAACCACAACCAGGCAAAATGCGGAAGTTGAGCTGAGCTGTGCAATCTGCTGTTGGTTTTCCCTCCGGGGCGGGGACAGGAGCCTGTTTATAAATCATCCAACACATGCCAGCTTCCCCGGGGAGGACAGAGCGTTCTCCTCCCCAGGAGACGCGGCCACTGGTGAAATCTACCTCTCTGCTAATGCAGAGACACCCCCCACGCCAGCAATGACGTGACGCCCTCATGAGCAAGTGAGCACACTCATGTGTGGAGAAATCATGCCTAGTGATTGCATGGATGTGGGGGGGAGAGGGGAGACTTTTTTCCTGGCCCAAATGGCGAAGAAAATCCGGATTCTCCGCCACGGAAAATCTGAGCCCCAAGAAAGCTGTGAAAATATTGCTTCGGTCAACTCCACTTTGGTTCCTGGGCTCTGTGGACGTTGAGTAGAATTTCCAAAAAAGAAAGTTTGCCTCCGAAAAAGGGACACGACTTTCACCCGACATCTCAGAACTGGTTGGACCTTTTGTTTCCTCCCCAGAAGACTCTTGGGCGGTCAGCAAAGCGGCATTTCTCAACGGAAAAAAATATTTCACTGGCCAATTCCTGACGGTATCGAATTGTGAGACCCTCTAACTCATTTCCCCCACGTGGCCGGGCAGAGGCAG